ACCCCTGACGCTCTGCTACAGACCCCTGACACCCTGCTAAAGCCCCCTGACACTTTGCTAAAGATCCCCGACTCCCTCCTAAGGACCCCTGACACTTTGCTAAAGACCCATGATGCTCTGCTAAAGACCCTTGACACGTTGCTTAATGCCCCTGACACTTTGCTAAAGACACCTGACGCTGTGCTAAAGATCCCTGAAACCCTGCTAAAGATCCCGACTCTCTGCTAAGGACCCCTGACACGTTGCTTAATGTCCCTGACACTTTGCCAAAGACCCTGACACCCTGCTAAAAACCCCTCACGCTCTGCTAAAGACCCATGACACTTTGCTAAAGACCCATGATGCTCTGCTAAAGACCCTTGACACGTTGCTTAATGCCCCTGACACTTTGCCAAAGACCCCTGACACTTTGCTAAAGACACCTGACGCTGTGCTAAAGATCCCTGAAACCCTGCTAAAGATCCCCGACTCTCTGCTAAGGACCCCTGACACGTTGCTTAATGCCCCTGACACTTTGCTAAAGACCCCTGACACCCTTGTAAAGACCCCTGACGCTCTGCTAAAGACCCCTGAGCTTTCGAGTCCCTTTGATGATTATCTCCCATGTTCTGTCACCATGCCTTCCCATATCACATGACTACCCACTTATTACTCTGTTATGTTTCCTTGCTCATAACTAGATTAACGTCTGAAAGAAATTGACCGCATTATTTATGTTTGTTGTTTAACGCCTCACTCAGAAATAACCCAGTTACATGTACAAGTATATAATATCTCTTTTTTTAAACATTTCATTAACAGAAGTTGATAAAATAGATAAATTGATTAGAAACTGTATAATATGACACCACATGCTGCTTGCAACGTACACCTACGTGCACATTTCACGGGCTCGTCAATAACAATTATATTTCATACATATACTGTATGATTAGACTATTTCCATACATGTCTTTACGAGGCATTTAGAAGTAGGTATCATTTGTTTGATAACGGTGTTAGGATCTACACCGAAACGTCGCATCTATTGTAACGAAGAAGTTGTGTATCCATAAAAGTGTTCCTCTTTATTCCCATACCGGTGAGTATTGTAGAGCTTTTCAAATGTTACAAACACTCAAGGCGTATAAGCATAAAGAAATCAACATTGTCGGTACTTCAGGCATGGTGGTATTGCAAGGCGTGTTGTCGTTATTCATAGTCCACCGACTGCTTGCATACAATGGATTTATTCTTAACCAGTTCGGAAGCACATTTTCCTTGGAAGATTTAATGTTCACACTCAAACAAAGACAAACATATTTATCTGTTTTGTATTTGCGTTTGTTATATACCACATGCTACGTGTTATGTATAAGCTGAGTCGGTGTTTTAAATGACATGACACTGTATAAACCTGTAGCTGTGTGTGTTAATTGTTTGAGTATTTCACTGTGTTTACTTTACCAGTGCTAAAAATACACCTGTCGTACGGGTACTTTCAATACACTATTCAAGACATGCTTGTGGCGTTATATCAAAAGTTGTTTTTTTTGCAGTGTATGTTGTCAATCAAACCAGCTATACAATTACAACACCCTTTTCCGTGTTTTTACTACACTTCAACGCCATGTTTAAAATGGAGAGCACTCTCGGAATCCATCACGCATAAAACAGGTAAGCATTTAAACATGTTTCCGGCCATGTACGGTGTAGATGTAATATCTGCACAGAGACCTCTGAAGATACATTGTGATGTCGAATTAAAATTTACTTTAATTTGAGATAAGTGCGGCAAATGTGATAAACTCAGCTGAAGTCATTGTTTGTGGTGCCACCAAGTTCATGTGGATTAATAGTTCTACAGGATATGTTTAGCAGTCATCGATAGCTTACCACATCATTTAGACAAAATTGAACGGAAGCATTTGGTTATCTTGAGAAACGAATTTGTTACAACATATTAAGGAGAAGGGCCGTTTTACAATAAAATATTAGTCATATTATGTAATAAGCTCATACGTGGATCAGGTGCTTTGTGCAAACATGTTTCGAATATCTAAAAAACACAGAGTAACCCTTCAGAATAACGTTGCAATACTGACCCTGCAGACAGACAATGTTTTATTTCAGTCAAACATACACATTTGTCTTAGATAGCCTACGTTTTATACTGTGTCTCCGTTTAAGAAATCTATAAAGTATATTCAATACACATCTGATAATTGTGCTAGTAGTAATTTTAAAGTTCCAAGGTAAGAGATCCGTTTGCAAATATCAGTGTGTGATTTTCAAGTCCCACTGATATTGAAACATTGTCCACGTAACTTAAGATTCGTATGCAGAAATTGTCGTGTGTGATCACAGATGGTTTGTATGTTTACAAGGACGCCGGATTCCTTAAGAATCGCATGACTGTAGCATGGAAAAGTGAGTCACATAAACGGCATTATCATAACAATACAACGCATTTCAACCACTATGAGTAACCTGTTTAAAAACCACAGCCACTGATGTCACGCAGTGCTCTGTAACACTTTCATTTGTCCTATTTCAGATGTGGTTTACAATGGACCTGATCACACACGGGGAACTGGGATTATTTGTCATAGCCTGGACGACATTTTTAGTTGGTGGTACGTGGACATGAATGAATGAATGGACGAAAGAACGCGCGAACGAACGAACGAATACATGCATGAACGAACGAATACATGCATGAACGAACGAACGAACGAGCGAACGAATGCATGAATGAACGCAAGAATGGATGAATGAATGAACGAACGCACAAATGAACGAACGAACGAATGAATGCATGAATGAAAGCGCGAACGAACGAACGAACGCATACATGCATGAATAAATAAACGAACGAACGAACGAACGAATACATGCATGAATGAACGAACGAACGAATACATGCATGAATGAACGAATGAACGAACGAACTAATACATGCATGAATGAACGAACGAACGGTCGGACGATCGAATACATGCATGAATAAACGAACAAACGAACGAGCGAACGAATGCATAAATGAATGAACGAACGAATACATGCATGAATGAACGAACGAACGAACTAATACATGCATGAATGAACGAACGAACGAACGAACGAGCGAACGAATGCATGAAGGAACGCACGAATGGATGAATGAATGAACGAACGCACAAATGAACGAACGCGTGAATGAATGAATGAATAAATGAACAAACGAACGAACGTACGAATGAATGAATGAATGAAAGCTCGAATGAATGAATGAATGAAAGCTCGAATGAAAGCGCGAACGAACGAACGAATACATGCATGAATGAATAAACGAACGAATACATGCATGTATGAACGAACGAACTAATACGTGCATGAATGAACGAAAGAACTAATACGTGCATGAATGAACGAACGAACGAACGAACGAACGATCGAATACATGCATAAATGAACGAACGAACGAGCGAACGTGGCATGAATGAGCGCACGAATGGATGAATGAATGAACGAACGCACACATGAACGAACGAACGAATGAATGAATGAATGAACGAATAAATGAATGAACGCTTGAATGAATGAACGAACGAACGAACTAACGAAAGAATGAACGCATGAATGAACGAACGAACGAACGAACGAATGAATGAATGAATGATCCGGCAAGTAAGCAGTTTCAGCAATATATAACATCACACAATGGCAGTATCTGAACTATAGATTAAATCACCAAGCAATACAATATTAAGCAAAGCTTATGACAATGAATTGGCAATTTAGTGGCGCTATATGAAATGGAGAACAGTAAATACATTGAAAGCTGGATGATTGGGATCTTTGATGTCTTTGACAGGTTGATCAAATTATGCTTCCGAACAAGCTTAAATTATCGTTTATTTTGAAGAACATAACAAAGTCAACGGATAGTATAATGACAGGAAAGTGCATATACTGGATTACTGGTTCAGTAATATTAAAAAGACCTTCAGATAAAAAAAGAAATTTTAGACCGGACAGAGCAGGAATAACGTCTTCATTCATCTTGGCCTTGTGGTTGTAACCATGTAATTTTTAAAAGAACAAATCTGAACCCGCGGCCATGTCACACATCGATACTGTATGAATACATATGAATCAATTTGAGAAACATCCCCGTGAAGACCCAGGTTATAATTGATCTTCAGTAACCCTTGCATGTTGTAAGAGGCGACTAACGGGATCGGGTGGTCAGGCTCGCTGACTTGGTTGACAATGCCAATCACTGGACTGTCTGGTCCAGACTTTATTATTTACAGACTGCAGTCATACAGATACAATAACACTGAGTGCAGTGTTAACACAACAAACTAACTAAATTGAATATGTGTATTTTCAAAGCCACAGACAATAAGTCCAATTCTATTGCGTGAATGAACGATCGAACGAATACATGCATGAACGAACGAGCTAACGAATGCATGAATGAACGCACGAATGGAGGAATGAATGAAAGAACGCACAAATGAACGAACGAACGAATGAATGAACGAATGAATGAATGAACGCATGAATGAATGAATGAATGAATGAATGAATGAATGAATGAATGAATGAATGAATGAATGAATGAATGAACGAACGAACGAACGAACGAACGAACGAACGAACGAACGAATGAATGGGTTGTACAATTTGTTAATTCCGGAAACGTTTTGAACCATACAAAATGCACCGTATCGCAATCTTATGCAAATCGTCTACAGAGAATAAAAAAATGAATATGGTCAAAAGATTACTACTTCTTTGAGTGCCATCTAACAGTTCCTGTAATGGACAACGGAGAGAGTGCCATGGATATACAACTTCTCTATTATTACATGAGCGATGTTTCAGTGTAGCTACTAACACCGTTATCAAGCAAGAACTTAAACCGTTTTTTTAAAAAATGATTATGAGGGACGTTTGCTAATGCCATAAATACTTATCTCAACATCATTACAGGACAATCTGAAGCATGCCCTGGAGGAATTGCTACACTGATGACAAATTATGAAATTACTGGCAAAAGTAGCGACGCTGGCTTCGTATGGGTCCGACCTGGTGCCCGGTACGTCGTCACCTGCAACCCCAACTGCAGCTCTGTGGCTGGATACAGCGCAACAAGGAACAGTACGAACACTACCCTAACCATAGAGTCAGTCATGTGTAGGGACGAGGGTGTGTGGATGCTCATGGATGCAAATGATGTCAATGAGATTCGTACACCTGTGTGTCATCTCTCATTAAGAGAAGGTTAGTACACCCGTATTTACAGAATGCATTGCACACAGTGTGACTGTTCTGCCTGTTTGTCCATCTGTATTTGCAGGAAGTATTACACACAGTGTAACTAGTCTGCCTCTTTGTCATCTCTCAGCAAGAGAAGGTTGGTACACCCGTATTTACAGAAAGCATTGCACACAATGTCATTGGTCTGCCTCCTTGTCATCTCTCAGCAAGAGAAGGTTGGTACACCCGTATTTACAGAAAGTATTGCACACAATGTGACTGGTCTGTCAGTTTGTCATCTCTCAGCAAGAGAAGGTTTGTACATCCGTATTTACAGAAAGTATTGCACACAATGTGATTGGTCTGCCTCCTTGTCATCTCAGCAAGAGAAGGTTGGTACACCCGTATTTACAGAAAGTATTGCACACAATGTGACTGGTCTGTCAGTTTGTCATCTCTCAGCAAGAGAAGGTTGGTACATCCGTATTTACAGAAAGTATTGCACACAATGTGATTGGTCTGTCAGTTTGTCATCTCTCAGCAAGAGAAGGTTGGTACATCCGTATTTACAGAAAGTATTGCACACAATGTGATTGGTCTGTCAGTTTGTCATCTCTCAGCAAGAGAAGGTTGGTACATCCGTATTTACAGAAAGTATTGCACACAATGTGACTGGTCTGTCAGTTTGTCATCTCTCAGCAAGAGAAGGTTGGTACATCCGTATTTACAGAAAGTATTGCACACAATGTGACTGGTCTGCCTGTTTGCCATCTCTGAGCAAGAGAAGGTTGGTACATCCGTATTTACAGAAAGTATTGCACACACTGTGACTGGTCTGCCTGTTTGCCATCTCTCAGCAAGAGAAGGTTGGTACATCCGTATTTACAGAAAGTATTGCACACAATGTGATTGGTCTGCCTGTTTGCCATCTCTCAGCAAGAGAAGGTTGGTACATCCGTATCTACAGAAAGTATTGCACACAAGTTCATTGGTCTGTCAGTTTGCCATCTCTCAGCAAGAGAAGGTTGGTACATCCGTATTTACAGAAAGTATTGCACACAATGTCATTGGTCTGTCAGTTTGTCATCTCTCAGCAAGAGAAGGTTGGTACATCCGTATTTACAGAAAGCATTGCACACAATGTGATTGGTCTGTCAGTTTGTCATCTCTCAGCAAGAGAAGGTTTGTACATCCGTATTTACAGAAAGTATTGCACACAATGTGACTGGTCTGTCAGTTTGCCATCTCTCAGCAAGAGAAGGTTGGTACATCCGTATTTACAGAAAGTATTGCACACAATGTGATTGGTCTGTCAGTTTGTCATCTCTCAGCAAGAGAAGGTTGGTACATCCGTATTTACAGAAAGTATTGCACACAATGTGACTGGTCTGTCAGTTTGCCATCTCTCAGCAAGAGAAGGTTGGTACATCCGTATTTACAGAAAGTATTGCACACAATGTGACTGGTCTGTCAGTTTGTTATCTTTTGACAAGAGACGTTTGGTACATCCTTATTAACAGGAATTAATAAATAGTTGCCTTTAATTCAGGTTTGCTTTCTATTTCGCCAACAAAAAGTGTGGCGTGAGGAACTTGGTTTGGCCACCATCCATCCTGTTACATTAATTTATCAGGAAATGCTCTTTAAAATAGAAGTCTGTTTTGTGGAAAGCGGGAGACGGACACAAATCTGTAGATGCAATATTGTAGAGAGTCATGGGAATTGTTTTTATTCATTTTGCAAATGAACATGGGGGCAAGCTGTACATGCAGTTATCGTGATCAGTTTCCGATTTCCATATATCATCAGGGGATAAAAGTCCGACAGAGGTCACAACTGAATAGAGCACCATAGAAAATACGTTTGGGCGTTTAAGGACATTCCGACAGAAGTATTTAAAATTATAGTTCCTATGTCAACGTTTTGTTTCATACTTGCGTATTCCAGTGACAACCTGCAGACCCAATATCAACATCACAACCGCGACTATGTCGACAGCAGCACGTATACCAGTGACAACCAGCAGCCCCAATATCAACATCACAACCGCGACTACTTCGACCGCAGCACGTATTCCAGTGACAACCAGCAGCCCCAATATCAACATCACAACCGCGACTACGTCGACCGCAGCACGTATTCCAGTGACAACCAGCAGACCCAATATCAACATCACAACCGCGACTACGTCGACCGCAGCACGGATACCAATGACAACCAGCAGCCCCAATATCAACATCACAACCGCGACTACGTCGACAGCAGCACGTATTCCAGTGACAACCAGCAGCCCCAATATCAACATCACAACCGCGACTACCTCGACAGCAGCACGTATACCAGTGACAACCAGCAGCCCGAATATCAACATCACAACCGCGACTACGTCGACCGCAGCACGTATTCTAGTGACAACCAGCAGCCCCAATATCAACATCACAACCGCGACTACGTCGACCGCAGCACGTATACCAGTGACAACCAGCAGCCCCAATATCAACATCACAACCGCGACTACGTCGACAGCAGCACGTATACCAGTGACAACCAGCAGCCCCAATATCAACATCACAACCGCGACTACGTCGACCGCAGCACGTAATCCAGTGACAACCAGCAGCCCCAATATCAACATCACAACCGCGACTGCGTCGACTGCAGCACGTATTCCAGTGACAACCAGCAGCCCCAATATCAACATCACAACCGCGACTACCTCGACAGCAGCACGTATACCAGTGACAACCAGCAGCCCCAATATCAACATCACAACCGCGATTACGTCGACTGCAGCACGTATTCCAGTGACAACCAGCAGCCCCAATATCAACATCACAACCGTGACTGCGTCGACTGCAGCACGTATTCCAGTGACAACCAGCAGCCCCAATATCAACATCACAACCGCGACCACGTCGACAGCAGGACGTATACCAGTGACGACCAGCAGCCCCAATATCAACATCACAACCGCGACTACGTCGACAGCAGCACGTATACCAGTGACGACCAGCAGCCCCAATATCAACATCACAGCCGCGACTACGTCGACCGCAGCACGTATATCAGTTAGCATTATCATGAACATGGTATTTGTGTGGCTTGTAATACCGATGGCAATCATTGTCGTCTTCATGGTCGCCGTCTGCCGAATCAGGAATACACGACCACAGTTATATATGAATGAAGCAGACAATACGGAGCAATCAAAGCTCGTTGTGAATGGAATATTACTGATGTGAAGAATAAGCAGGGGACTCAGGAATACCTGCAGCCACTACTTGGTAATAATAATACTAATAATACTAATAATAAAGTCTATTTATATTGCGCTGGGGTCCATCCACAGAGGTGCATGCTCAAGGCGCTACAATAGTCACAGATGAGAAATTCACGGGAGGAGATAGTTCGTGGGGATAGAACTTTCTAAAGAGAAAGGTTTTTAGGTTGGTTTTGAATGTCTCACGGTTGGGGATTCTTTAATGTTCTGAGGTAGTAGGTTCCATAACTGAGGTGCTGCTACTTGAAACGATCTGTTGCCGCAGAGTTGGAAAACATTGTATGATATCAGTACCATCAATGGAATTGGAAAGTATGTCCATTTTTCATCTGTAAAGTTCGATTTTGAAGATGGAGGAACTTCGGTTGGAGTTAAGTGTTAATGGATACTATCTACATGTTCACTCACACAGATGTCATTGAAAGACTGCCATTCGACACTCGTACAGCAAATCTGAAAGTGTAGCAAAGGCTTGTTCCTGAACCAGGATGTAAATATGTTTTATAATTATTAAAAATGCACACATCTTGAATATCCCCATGAAGGTTGGAAATTCACTCAATACAAAATTATGCCCACTGGAATAGCCCATGAGTCGGGTATAGCATCACCAGACAATGTCAACGGTTAAAAAGGATGAACGTTGGCTCACTGACATTCCATGGAATCGTCCATGTCAATATCAGCGCTTGGTTAGTCTCAAGAGTACCACGAGGAAAGAAGAAGATCGATTGAGTAAAGAATCAGTCAGGTGTTGTGTATATAGGGAAAGACAATGAAACATTCTGTATTAGAGGCTGTAGGGATGTTTTGTGTCTGGTTTTGTCAACATAGCTCTTTAATGAAATAATTTTATGTGGCTTTATGCTGTAGTATAAATAAAACATGTCTCAAATGTTATATGAAGAACGAAAACTAGGTCATCAAAATGTCCATTGTTGTTTAACGCCGCACTCAGCAATATTCCAGCTATATGGCATCCGTCTGTACATAATCAAGTCTGAACCAGACAGTCCAATGATCAACAGCAAGAACATCGATCGACGCAGTTGGGATACGATGACACGTGTCAACCAAGTCAGCGAGCCTGACCGGTCGATCCAGTTAGTCGTCTCTTACGACCAGCATGGGTTACTGAAGATAAAGTTTAACCCGGATCTTCACGATTCCATTTTAGTATGGGTTTTCTATTTGTATCTGAATAAAGTCACCAGTATAGTTTAGATTGTAGGATTCGTCCTTGCTTTGTGTGTCAGTCGTTAAACCTACAACCGACCAAAAACTCCATATACGAGGTTTTAAAAAATCTTGACAGTGGATAAGATATTGTACCCGTAATGTTCACGGATGAAAGTTTACTATACGTAGACGGTTTCTGTGAAAACCCGAGGTGCTTACTGCTTATTTTCAGAAAAGGCTTTAAATTTAATGTTGTTTCAATTTAAATATTCCCATGAAGCATGCTTCTTTTTTCGAACAGGAAAATACAAAACAACCTAATGCCGAGTTGCTTACGGTTTTTAGGGTAATATGCAGCATAAATATATTTGTCCGAACCAGAAATGACACAATCGAACGTAAGACAGCAGGAATGTCCTTTTGGCATGAAGCAGAACATTGCTAATCCATGCTGCTTGCTGTTCTGAGATATACTGACCTAGATAGTACATATACAGTATTTACAAACATGCATTTTCAATTTTATACATCTTAATTTCATATACATTTGTGGTCATGTTCTGCTTCAGAGATTCTAATTATAACGGAAACCGGAACTGACGTTATTCAGACCAGATGTGTAACTGCTTTGTGTTTACTGAGTTAAGCCAAGGCGAATATTATTTCACTTGTCTATTTTCTTTTGGAATGAAGTGTGATGGTGGAGCCTCGTGTTTATGGTGTTCGCTTGTCACGGGTTCTATTCCCCACAAGAAGACAATTTGTGATCCCAATTTTCGGTGTCAGTGATATTAATAGAGTTTTGCTGATAGTTGCGCAAATCTATACTGACTCAATCATTTTGTAAGAAAAGTGAGGTACTGTAAATATACCTCAACATCAAAACATAACTTGGCATTCCAGATGCTTCAATCCTTACGTGGATGTTTGAACGTACATTTTGTTGGTGTCCGTTGTTGTTTTCGAGGTCTCTTCAATCTTGTTTTCCGAAACCGGAACGAGTTTTGTTCTATATCCTTATTCAAATGTCTCGTTCGAAGAAGAACGAACGAAAAATATAAATGTGTCGAAAGGTAACACCCTCGATAAACTCCAGAATAGACGTTCCGATAAATCTCTACTAGTACCCTGGATGCATCTACGGCTCGGCACGATAAGTTTATTGCCTCACCTGAATGAATAGTGAAAGCCGAACAAATCCTCTGTAATGCTGCGACGTAAACACTTGAGAGATTTTACTGCAACTTCATCACATAGTTATTTAATAACATTTCCGTGTATAACAAAATACGTGCTCTCCACTAAAAACTTCTACAGTACACCAGACAGACAGTAGATGTATATGATGGACACGTTATATTTGGGTGTACCCGTGAAGATCCGGGTTAGAATTGGTCTTCAGCAACCCATGCTTGTCGTAAGGGGCGACTAACGGGACCTGGTGGTCAGGCTCGCTGATTTTTTGTTCACACATGTCATCGTATCCAAATTGATCCGGGTTAGAATTGATCTTTAGTAACCCATGCTTGTCGTAAGAGGCAGCTAACGGGATCGGGTGGTCAGACTAACTGACGTGGTGACCGATGTCATCGTATCCCAATTGCGCAGATTGCTGCTCATGTTTTTGATCACTGGATTGTCCGGTTCAGACTCGATTTTGTACAGGCAGCCGCCATACAGCTGGACTATTGCTGAGTGCGGCGTTAAACAACAACCAAACCAAAAATATAATTCGGTGTATGACATATGGCCGATATTACCTACATGTATATCAAACTTATCAGATTATATCGTATTTGTATGTCCTTTGATTGGTGCCTATCAGATTAGCGTTGTTTGATCTCCAAGATGCCATGTCACTTGTCACGGCCATCACGCTTTCAAGTACATGTCCTCGCGTTATTCGCTCTGGACGTGGGATACTATAGTTTTGCCTCAATTGGTAGGCCAAAGGGGGATAACTCTCTCTTCGGCCGGAAATGGTCAACTTGTCATGTGATGAATTCCCCTTGTCCTTCGTGTTATATTAATCGTTGTAATTCCCAGATGGTACTGAGTGAGTGAGTTGGGTTCTACGCCGCAGTTAGCAATATTCCAACAATATCGCTCGGGGGACACCAGAAATCGGCTTCACGCATTGTACCTATGTGGGGAATCGAACCCGGGTCTTCAGCGTGACGAGCGAACGCGTTAACCATTAGCCTACCTCACCGCCCCTTGAGATGGTACTAACCGTGTCATCGAATGTAACAGATACATTTTGAGTAAACGTGTTACATGTTCACATATGTGTTATGTTACAAGAATCTAAATCAGTGTAATCTTTAATCACAGGGACATTTTACAATATCACTTGTATAAAATCTCTTGCCGAATTTTCTAAATGCTCGTTTCATGAATGCTTTGGTTGTTTCTACACTAGCTGTGATAAAAACATGGCGCACTGGTCATATCTCGAACCCAACGAGTCGAAGGAAATTAACAGCCCACGAAGCGTAGTTTTACACTCTTTTAAATACACAAACAACAGAGAGGGGACATTTGAAGAAGTATAGCACAGTCAAATCACAGCGTTCAGGCTTAGTGAGGGAAGATAGCCAGCAGATACTGGGTTTTGTCTAAGGGACGCAACTCTACACATTAACTTGTGGCTCCTTACCAATGTTCCATGTGTACCATTAGAATGCAGGATGTGAAAGTTTGGAGTACAATTGATGTATACATGTTGTTTAATGACACACACAGGTATATTCTATATTTCAACTGACTGACTGACTGAGTTTTAGTTTTACGCCGCTTTTAGCAATATTCCAGCAATATCACGGCGGGGGACACCAGAAATGGGCTTCACACATTGTACCCATGTGGGGAATCGAACCCGGGTCTTCGGCGTGACGAGCCAACGCTTTAACCACTAGGCTACCCCAACGCCCCTTATATTCCAACACTCTGAGGTAGAATTACGAACATAAAACATTCCATAATTGACAGTAACAATTTTATTAATACAATACAAGAGCACTACAATGATTGACTTCTAATAGCACTTCATTTTACATCAAATACGACACTTCACAGTGTTACAGCATCATCATAAAACAGATATTCACGTAAGACATCTTATACAAAAATAAGTGATTTGATACTGAAGCGGTGTAGTACTGTTATAATATATGTTAAACAGATCAAGATTTTTAGTCGGCTTCTGCTATTTGTAACCTTCGTGTCATTCTGGGACCATGTTACGAAATGACCTAGTGCTGATAAACACTTGACACGCAGTTGATGTGATTGCCCCTGGGAACAGACAGCTTAGTGTGGGGCACGTCATTGTTAGTTATACCGGAAAAACAACTCAGATAATCAGGATCAGGATTTCGTTTTACGCATCGTGTTCGTTGACAAGAATCATCCATTTAATCCGAAAACCATTCCGTCAGATGAACACCAAATGTGTTTTGGCTGCTTTTGATTTATCACTGTCAGTGAGCCTGTACCTTGTAAAAGATACATTTCTCACATACATAAGTAGAGGATTTAATGGTATTTGATTATGACAAATATATGTTGGCCATGGTTGAGGTTCAGATTGAATTCGACGTTCATAGCTCATGGCGATTTCGTCCATGTTTCATCTATTTGGACGTGATGGCGTTACAGTACAGGGATATTAATCACTAAATAAAACAACAGTTTAAGTTTGTTTCGCATGGACGGCAAACAATGTCAACACAAAGGAGGTGTATAACTCCGGACGATTCGTGGATAAAGAAACGTGTTTCCGCTACTGCTCATTGTTCTATTTTTCGCGTCCCACAATGTCGCCGAAAACGGTCTCATACCTAGATATCGTTGCGGTAGGCCGTTATCGTCATCATCATCATCATCGTCGACGTCATCATCATCATCATCGTCGTCGTCGTCGTCGTCGGCGGCGGCAGCGGCGTCATCACCATCATTTTCGTCGTCGTCATCGTCATCATCATCGTCGACGTCATCATCGTCGTCGTCATCATCGTCATCATTGTCATCATCATGGAATCGCATATTAAACTGTATCTGTATACAATAAATATATCGCAGCATGACACAAACAAGACTACTTCCATTTGCGGGGTCATCTCCTTGTCCGGTTCCACGTGCACATAACCAAACAGTGAGGAAGGCACTAGGAACGGTCTCGTCATGTCAAACATACATTCGTACACTCTGTTGCGTGAATGCCACGTCTCTAACCTCATTTTAACCTCATTTCTGACGGTAGACACGTGTCTGTTTGCAAACAATGTAATCAAATGAGGTGCAAATTGTCCTGTGTCTTGGAGTAAACTTGGATGGATAATATAACCTCACAATACAGTGTTCATCTGAACACAAATCAAACATTCGTGAAAGGTCATTTAGTTCCGGAAAATTGCCGACTGACATTGTACGTTGGTTACGGAGAGATGCAAGTGTCGCCGTATTCGTGGTCGCAATGTAACTGCATCATGTTCAACTCCGTTTGTGAAACACTACTGACACCCCGATGATGTCACAGATGATGACGTCACACACTCCGTGACGTCGATATCGCAACAAGAGCTGTTATCGGAGTCGGGAGACAGTTGCTCGTTGCTGACTGAGACAGTGTGTGAGGCTGTCTCTTCCATCTCTGGACATGTCTTCTTGGGACGTCCTTTAGGTTTAGTCGGCGGCTCGGCTCCTCCTTTCTGCAGCACCTGCACCACCACAAGGTATATTTAGGAGATTAAATTGTTTTGTACATATTTATCAAAGTCGGGGATTTGATTCTTTAGTTATTGATGGTCACCATTTTGTCGTTCTCGGGTTGATCATCAAGTGATATAAAGTCATAAAGGTTATAGCACTTCAACACCGTCACGCAGGGACATGTTTGCATGTGGTTGCCGGGTGCATGTGCTTAAACCCAAATTAAATTAAATTAAGAACTAAATAACAAAATAAATTAAATAATCCTCTAACAAACGATTATTATTTTGAAAAACATTGTTCACGTGTTGCCAAAGTACGATAGAAAATCATGAATACATCAGGTGTGTACGTTTTTTTACGTCAGTCTATGTTGATTTTACAGTTGAGGTCAGATGATATAACAGTGCCACATGTATCGAAATGCCTCTCTACCTATAAATTACACTCGAGAGTGATTCTGTCCCAGGATAGAAGTGAGTTACAAATGAAATCGCTCTCGCCCCATGATGAACACGTTACAACGTCATCCAAACAAGCTGTATGCCGACAGGCATGTTCGTGTGTCTGTGACTGCTTGTACGAGTCCCCATGTATATAGGTTTTATAGGAGAGGTGGTGTTGATTGAGATGACATTGACTTAAACAAAATATCCCTTTCTTTTGTATTCACTCAGAAACTGAAATATACTCTTTAAAAAAAGTAGGGGAACTTGAATATTCAATTTGGATAGAAAGTATTAGCGTAAACAAACTTTTCAAAGACAAACATCTTATGAACGCACCACCTTTTCTACTTTATCACCACCCCTAAACACAACGCATGGGATGCAAGTGCACAATCGTTAATTAAAAAAGAAGTTCCCCTACATTTTTTAAAGAGTATATCAAAGCAGCGTTAACCGATCGTCCCCTTCATTCATTGAATCAGAACCATCATCCTCAACTACATCTGCACCGTCGTCACTCACCATCTTCTTCCACTTCATCCGCCGGTTCTGGTACCAGGTCTTAACCTGGATCTGCGTCAGACCCAGACTCTCAGCCAGTTCAATCCGGTCGGGGGTGGACAGGTATTTCTGTGTCTCGAACTTCTTCTCAAGTCCCATCAGTTGTAGTTCGGTAAAGACCGTCCGACTTCGGCGGCATTTCTTGGACTTGCCGAGGAAATCCGATCCTGAAGGCGATCTGGTCCGAATGTAAACCGGAAGTGGGATAGGAACGGAGAACTTTTCTCGTTCTAGGAGTTGATCCATAGGACAGCATGCTGTTTGAGAGAGAATCAGATCATGACGTGAGTGACGAGTGAGTGAGTGAGTGAGTGAATGAATGAATATCATGACATGTGTGTCAAATCAATGTATGAATGATTGAATCAATGTTTTCTTTTCGTTGACCGGCTGATGTTTGAAAGAGAATCAGATCATGACATGTGTGACAAGTGAATGAATAAATGAATGAATGAATGAATGAATGAATGAATGAATGAATGAATGAATGCTCTACACGCTTCCCAGCATGTAACATCAGTCATAATTCACAGATAAAGTAGACAATAGGAGATTAATGTGTTATAGTGAAAATCATGGCAAATAGGAAACTATTCATTCGTTTCTGTTTGTGGGGTTGCCACCGCTTGGGCACCGCCTTTTGCCAAAAACTTTGAATCACCATGGCATTGTTGGAATCCTGCATTGGACTATTTTCAGTCTTGTGATTATGTAATCGTGTTTTTCTCTTTTATTTGCAATTTAGTAAAATATACAAGCGGTCTTTTGATTCTACCGACCCAAAATATTATTCAGCATTTTGAGATTCCCTTTTTTCATACCGTAGGATGTATAACGTGCTATACGTGTACAGCTGTTTTAATCTGCAATTACGTCGGAGTTCTTTAGTGTAGAAAGTTATTTCCACCATGTTTCGGGGTTTGCTATTTAGGACACACATTGCACATTACACACTTTAGGGCAATCGAACCTAGACCTAGACTCTTAGGCTTTACACTATAACTCCGATAGGCTTTAACTCCCATGCATGGCCCCGCGTGTCCGGAGAATGTGTTAACCAACCTCCTGCTGTTTTATATGTCTACATGAAAATTAATCTCCATTAATCCTGATACTTGCACACATTCTTATTCATAAGATTTTCGTCCGGATACAAAAGGGTTCTCCTTATTTATTAAAGGGGATGAATAAATTCGGTTAATCTTAACTATTTACTTAGCTCAAAACAGATCATAAGCCATATTTATAACACACGAAGGTTCAATGTCTTCGTCAGGTTTCTTTACGCAGGAGTCTACAGTTTCATTGCAAGACAGGCGAGAAGTGATTTCTTTAATTACCGCCTTCACGCCTCGTCCACAATAGCAGCGCCTTGCGTTCCCCGTAGTATTACCACGTGTTAATCAAAACAGACTCACACCTCACAGATAACGTGAAGCCAGTCAAACTGCTGTTATTCCGCGGTGGTCGTGAAATTCGATTCCAAATTAATAATCTTTCATAAATAGCATGGCACTTGTCATTTTGCGAGTTCGCGGGTGGGCTGGAAGCCCCTCCTCACAATCCACTCGGCCCACTTCTCCGGCCCACGTGTAATTATAATTCGATAAATAATTTCCCGCTTAGGCTCAGCTAAATTCAGCTTCCTTGATTCCTCACCTGTTCACCAGATGGCGTTGGTGAGCTAATCCACGAAATTCATACGGTTATTTTCAATAGGGCCCTTCCTTCGCCGCCTGAGGCTCCAAACTGGCGTAAATGTCATTTGCAAAACTCGGATAATTTGTTTAAATGACGAAAATCGCGGTTTACTTGTAAGCATGTGTTAAACATACCCAATATAATCTTCCAGCGCCCTCCCGCGAGCGGCGAGATGTGAACGAGACTTTAATGAGCCGCCGTTTTACGCCATGTCCGGTGTGTCCCTCCGCTCGCTGTGTGAGTCCGTCAATGTGGTACTACTTATCGGCGTTTACCAGAAAGAATAGGAGTGATTTGACGTCTTAGAAGGTGGTGTTTACGAATTCAATATCTCTCCCATGAGAAGAGTTGGCATCGTGATTATTTCAACTCGATAGTCAATTTTCTAAGCAATATGGAAGAGGGGCTCTTTTTTCAACATGTGGCCGTCATTAGATGCAGTTCGTGACGAAGTTCCCTAGCAAATCAGTGTCACGAACCTCGCACACTTAGCTTACCCGGTTAACAAGTTACATTTTCAAACTACTTTGGAGCATGCTTACCAAACTCAAACCCCAAGGCGTACGAATACACATTTGGAGGAAATCTTTTGTTAGAAATAAATGACAATCAATCTGCTGTCAGAGCGCTGATAAAGACTTGGTATGCATGGCACCCAAATATTTACCGTGAGGGATATATTGCCTTTTGTCTCCGATTGTTCAGTTTTTATTGTTTATTCTACCTGGTACACATTTAGTGCCATCAATACGTTAACATGAGTTCACAAATATTTCTTGCAGAAAGAGTGATTATGACTGTCAAACTTTCCACCAAATTAGACAAGGTATTAATTTATAATTTAAAAAATGCCACATAGAAAATAATGCATGACAATTGTGGTTATAAAACAGACATGATATGCTGATATTTAAAACAGGATTTATCTGTTGTGTTTTTTCAATCAAGTATGACTTTCTTATAGATTTTATGATAATATTTTAGATATTATAATATATGGTATATGGGTCGGTAGGGGGTCGGATGAAGTTCATAATTTTGAATTAAAATCTCTTCCTGAGTTGATATGCTGTCTACACGAAACTTTTGTAAATTAAACTTGATTGTGACTTTTTGGGTGGAAGTGGTAATAAATCCCTGATTCGTCATGTTTACATGTGGTCCACATGAATCATGTACATACTCGAAGGAGTGGGGTTACTGAAGGGGGAGACTTTTATACCGACAATACTTGCAGCTCACCGACTTACCGCCTGTCAATAATATTCTCGGGCAGCCATACCAGTGATTGATATCATGAGCAAACTGGAACGCAGCAGTGGCGCGATGACAAGTCATTATCCAGCCTGCCCAACCGGTTCATTTTGCTTGAAACCTGCGCCACCCCATTTCCCCTTTTTAAAAAAATTATCTACTTCATTTGTTTTAATCAGTACGTGTTGATACGTACCGATGTTACTTAAAATTTATTCATTCACATGGCTTTTCTCCTCCACTGAGCATACACTAGTAACTTAACTACTCAGAGGGCATAAAACACGACTAACATTCTGTGATTACCGATGTTAAACTGATTAATTTGTGTATTTACACTTACTACAAAACCCGGAAGCCATTTAAAGAACCCAAAGGTTAAAACTCATACCCTTCCGAACACACATTTGAAGAGATCGCAAGTCGCTTGGAAGGGTATAAGAACTGGGTGTATGAGAAACGTTGCATCAATGAAGCTCCCATTGTTGCGATTCTATATCAACTACACCTGGCCTTGTGAAGGTACTGCCTTCTCCCCCTCGGTTCCTGGTAATCACGTGTAAAGTGCCTCTTATCGCCGTGTCTATTGCTTCAACACTCGCTCCAGTTTATTTGTGTGATTCGTCGTTATATACCAAAGAGTAGCGAGCCCTCCTGCGCCTGGGGCCATGCACCTGTGACGAGATGTATCAAGAGCGGCGGGTATATTCAATACCGTTTTCTTGTTTCGTCTCGATTGCGAATTTCAGAGGCTTTGAGTGGAATCTTGTTAATAAGAACAAAACGTTTCTATAATATATGACGAATGATGTGGATATTTGTCAAATAATTTCGGTAGGCATTTAAAAGTTGGAAGAACATGAACATGTTTAAATCATAAGGATAGCAAATTCTTGTAACAACGTTTCAGGTCCAAAACTAATCAGTAAATGGGGCAAGCAGCATTTCGGTGGGAGAAGATGTTATCCATAAAATATCATACATTCTGATAACTGAGTTTATAATAATAATAATAATAGTCCATCCATAGGTAATGCATGCTCGAAACGCCCAAACAATCTGATCATTATTACCCCGGATAACCTAAGCTGCCTGTGAGGCGCTAAAAGGTTAATTGTCATATGACCAATACCACCGGGTACCCATTTTCTGCTGGGTGAACAGTGTGGTTGTATGTAGCGCTTAACTGACCAGTATTGAAGTTATATCGCAGCGTCTAAGACTGATGATGATGTAAGGCCTGAAGTGATGGAGTCGTAGTCGTATACAACGTCGGTGAAACCTGAGATGGTTCTAACATATCGTGAACCGTTACCAGCACGAGACGGGATTCGAACATATGATCACTGCATGAATACCAATCCCCTACAGGGCCCAATGGTAGATCTAAACAGCGAATCGCTGGTTATAGGCAATTGGGCGATCCGTTCCACGAACGACCAGTGATTTGGAAAACCTTTGATAGACGCCGTATGTGTCTCTGTCTTTCTGTCCCTCTTCCCGTCGGCCCTAATTTTTCATTCCGACTAGAAATACAAGATACGTTCTTATCTCAATTCCCCCGCCGCTGACGAATTTTATAACCCGCTGTGACGATAGAAAGCTCCCACGATTTCACTCCCATAAACGCCCCAGGTCACCTTGATCTTTCAGAATTTATAATTAAACTTACAAATACTGTCAAAGCAAACAGTCCCTTTACAAACGTCTTCACACGTTCCTGTGTAGGTTTTGTCGGCAATTAAGTTTGCCCTTTATGCAAAGACTGTGTAAAGTATATTGTATGTATGACCAATTATTTCACTTTGTTTTGTTTTGTTTAAAATGTTTTATATTTTTCAGCACCCTCCCCCTTGCCGATTGAGGTTTGTGACGGGAGATGCCATAACATATAAATAGGGGAAGAGGAGAGTATATAATCAACAACATTGTTCAGACTTTTGGATTCTGGATTCTAAAAACACATTGCTCCAAATACGGAGATTTATTTTTTAAGACTGAAATACGTTAACATTTTCAAAACAAATTTAAATATTTTGATAAGAGAGTTCTAGAAATCACACCTGGTATTATAGGTCTAAAATTGTATCAGCAATAATTTCTTCATAATTGGTGGAGGCTACCTGAAATTTGGAAATCACCTTTTAGGATATTTTCTGTGTTGTCAAGATTTCGTGTAAACAATTTCTCGCTTCAGATGCTTGCCTTCTCCGGCAGCCAAAGTGTAGACACGATCATGTTACTAAGCAACGTCATTATTATTTTATTTTATTATTATAGGATATTTATAT